TTTCAAAAATGRTTTGAGAAGASTTGGAGTCTGCTTTCGTGCACTCAACAGGATATTTTTCTTMCAGACTCAACTTTGCAAGCTTTGTGGTGAGATTTCTTTGCTAAAAGGTCCATATTCTTCCCATTTCTCAACTTCATCTCTTGTGACAGTTTTTTTTCAAGTTGTTGAAAACTGCAGTTTTGAGATGTCAGCTTTCACAAGCTCAACCGTCGAGAACGTCTTTTTCTTTTAGGGGATTATTGGTTTTATTGTTTAAAAAAGTGTTCACTTGTGACGTTTTTTTTGCAGGGATTATTCCAACACCTTGCATTTATTGTGCAATATTCATGTTTTACCACACTTACCATCTTTGATATTTTCCCACTTWATAGTCACGTAATTATCTCTGTCAGGGCGATTCTGCTCGTGTTTGAATCCTATAACGTGACCTTAGGGTAAGAAATAAAAAAAATTAWCGTTTAACCCACAGTGATGGTAATGATTAAGTGGAGTTAGTTACACAGTCATTCCCATTTGTTAGATAGCTCTTTCCTGTTTGACGTCATGCTTGTCTGTTGAAGTGCATCATGGTACTGATTAAAGTATCAAGATGGAGGATGCTACTAGAATGAAACTACTGAGGATGAAATTTCTCCCTGAAATTACCATTATACGATAATTGCCCGTAATTATTTGGAAGAACATTAACTATAATGGCCAACAACGTGACAGACCTCTCTCTAAAATGGTCGCCATTTTTTTCAACCGTTTGCAAAATAAMCTTTTATGTACTACAGGATATGCTTCACTTCGTCTTAGAAGCGTTCGAAAAACCTTTCAAAAATCGATTCGTAGAAACATAATGTTTTAAAAAGGGCTTATTTCACAGATAAATGCATGCATGGRGAATGCCCTAACCATACACTGATTTCTCTGTGAAAAAATCTTAACAGAATTTTATAAATACGCTTTACAGRGCTTCTAAGTGAATAAAATTGCGGCTCGAATCTATATATCCCGATAAAACACGCACTCTCGTTCTATAAACAACACATAACATTCCATGTGTCATTTCATCTCAGTTTTCCAAAAAAAGAAAAAAAAAAATGCCAAAAAAAATAAAAGAATTAATAAAAATTAATAAAAATGTCGAGAAATATCTATTAGAGCTATAATTTTAGAGGTTTATTAGGAGAATGGTTCGTCGTTAGTAGTTTCCTGCCCTACAGCGAGCTAGTCCATTWTTTTTACACACCAACAAAGCAATAATGCAAATATACCTAATTCATGTACGATCATTCCTTGGTACCAGCACCTCTCGGCTAACACCACTTTGTAATTATAGCTGTTGTAATGTCCAACACCATATGACGCACACCTTAAAATAATGGATAGATATAATGATAATTACATCACTAATCTATATCACGAGACTTTATCACATATAAAGTAGCTAAGCCCTATCGTCCAACAACTGTACCAGTCGCGTAAAAAATGCGTTTTTTTACATTGCTCTAATAATCCMGCTTTGAATTCTCCAATGCTCTGTGTTAGCCTCATTTGTGCGCAAAATATTCCTAATTGTGAGAATAAAAGTATGAGATTTCAAATCAATTGTATAGTCTTTCTTTTCAAATTCCTTGCGTTTTCTCGGGCTATAATCAATAAAACAAAACGGTTACTTGGTTGAGCTAACACAGAGCAAACTAGACCTCGAAATTGGGTATTACCTCGAGAGAATCGACAATATTTTGTGGTAATTGGGACGATTTTTATATAAATCAGACCCAAGAAGTTCTAATCACAGAATGCGTGTATGCAATACTCCGCTTTGAAGTGTCCAGCGCCATCTTGAAAGTCAGCCGAGCCTTTGCATCAAAGCGAGACAGGAGTTGAGCTTGTTGAGATCGATTGCTACCTTTTTTCATATCTGAGACAATTATTCAAAGGTATATGTATATCATTTCAAGCTYAACATCTGTGTCCCTTTGATGCAAAGGCTCGGTTACCTTTTAAGATGGCGCAGGGAACTATAATATGGAGAAATGCCTTTATGGTGTTGTTATATAAGAAATCAAAAGGGGATTCACAAAACGTGCGAGGTTGAAAAAGAAAGCGCATCTTTAATAAAATTCTCACCTATTGTTGTCATCTTTTACGTATGTAATAAAAGATTTATCAGTCGATTTTTTGGGTACAAACTTAATGCAGGTCTTGGACATCCATTCGTTCATAGCATTGAGTATTTCTCTCTTTGCTTTAGAACTAGCAGCTTGATTTGAGAKAAAAATCGGAAAAGAAAACAACAAAACAAGTTGGTTAGAAAGAAAAACGAAAAAAAASGACAAAGACAGGTGGTTTTCTAGATCACACGCCGAAAATTGAAAATTTGCACCGAAAAGCAGTGTGGGATATAGGCCACTCATCTACTGGATCACACTGTAGTCAGTTAAATCAATAATGACATGTTACARCAAAATATAATAACGCTGAAATTTTCCATATCACGCTCGTAGTCAGCTAAATCAATATTGTTATCTAGTCTATTATAACTTCTTGCAAAGTATACCAGGTGAATATAATATAGWGTCTACAACATTCAACCGTCAGCTATATAGTTTTGCTATCATTTACATAATATAATAAGAGAATTAAGGCGAAATAAAGGGTTCGACCTGATTGAAATCTTTAATTTATTGTCTTTTTAATAAATTTGACTAAACTTCAAATGTTCTATATCTCCATGAAAAACATTTTTGTAACTAGATGTATACTTTCGGTCGAGCATTCGCCGTTCTCCCATACAACTTTGTTTGAAATGGCTATATATGACTATATATAAATCATGCTATCTAAATGTTATGCCTACCAATCCTGGAGTCGAAAACATACGGAATCACGCCATTTGGCCAGGGATTTCCTGACAAAAATCCCCGTGACAAACTTCCTTCCTTTAAACTTAGGTATTCGTCTTTCGGAAGGATCAGATCGCCTTCGTATATTTCTGAAAAAGAAACATGATTGAAATGATGACGATTATTGAGCCCTCAGTGGACGTGTGGTAGGGAACCGCCTAAAAATGTTTGACCACTAAGCAGATTTATTCTCTGGTGCCGCCAGAGAATAAATCGACGTTTTTTCGACGTTTTYCATTTCGTTTCAATCTCTCGTGTCTTTTTTGCATTGCCTGTTATCATGTTATGCAGACCTCATCTTTAGGATACACGTTGTAGCGTTTTTGCACCTATCTGTTTTTTATTTCACATTGACGAGGAAGGAGAAGATCACAAACCGTCCACTGTCAAAAGCTAATCGCATCAGTGTGACTGAGGACAAAAATATGCTACATAAAACATCAAAATGAAGTCCATGTGGACTTAAACTAGTTGAATTTGAGTAGTAGTGACTCATTGCATTGCATTTTTTCGAGACTTATTACTAGGTCCAATACAGAACGCAGATCAAACTATCCTGTCTACTTACCTTCTCCCTGCAGTGAAACCGCACAAAAAACGAGGACCAAGCTGACAATACAATTCATTGCTGTAATTTTGTCTCCATGGGCAATCCTTTCTGATTCAATACCCGAGCGCGAATTATATTTGCTGCATTGTGTGACACATCTGAGCAAACCACAGTGTTTATACACCTGACGACCAGAAACAATGAATATAGGCATTTGAAAAAACAACTTTATTATGAGAAAAATAGAAATTTACTCTTTGCGCGCAATGGATTTGACCAGTGAACAAACAGCGCCTTACACGATTTAGGGTACGTCAAACAAAAGATTTTACCTTTGATGACGTATATAAYGCTAATAGCTGAAAGCTACCTCAGGATAGTTGTCAGCCTGATAAAGTAAGGAAATAGGCATCGACGCCATTGATGAACTAAACTTAGGAAAATACTAGCTAATACTTATTCCCAACCCCCTCCCCCATCTGCTTTGCTGTTGTTGCAGTAAAATGAAAGGATTTGTTCGTTTCTGTGAAGATTCACGTTGAGATTATTTGAGCAGACATAAGGAAGTTCAAGGACTACAATTCCCACGATGCTTTGCTATTGAAAGTGGAATTGGTGGACATTCCWTGCTGAAGTGGCAAACAACCATTGCCCAACTATATTTTGTTTTGTTCAGTTTATTTCTATATCTTTTTTCATTGGTCTAAAAAATATAACATAATAATCACAGAAAAAAATGAGAAATGCAAACCATCATTGGCAGATTCAATTATTATAGAGTGGATTTCGTATGAATTTGTRGAAAACACGGCAGTCGTTAAGATGTGACCATACGGTGCCGTTACGGTGACGRATTYTTGAATCTGAACTTTCATTTGACATCACTACCAGGTTCCATGACCATYCCGTGATACGTCCCGTTTCAGAGTCATACAAAATCGRCTATAAGCCTCTACAYATCRCAGTGCCTGTCATAATCGGAACACCTTTTAAGAAATTCCTTGAAAGATTTTTGATTGACTGCTTTTCTGCAGTGTCATTTCTCACTGCTACACTGCTACCTTAATTGGGCGTAATATTATTACTTTTTAAAGTTAACTAAACGTCTACTAATAATTGATTCCTTGCACTATCTATTATCTTAGTTTTATGGTTTCCCATTTTTTGCTTGGTATCTTTTTTGATTTTATCATTTTGTRCATAAAGTATTGTTAGATATTATCTTTGCACAGAATTACAGGAACACATTCTTTTCAACACGCTCCAACAAGCCTTACGGATACTTGGTATTCGAACGCATAGTGTTATCGGGCTAACACATGAATGGAAAAAGACTATGACAATAGCCAAATCATACCATCCGTCTACAACTWGAATTACTCGCAAAGTCGCTAAAATGTTGACTACCAAAAATGGAAGATAACAAATAAACAAAGCTAACACGATTATAAGGATAGTATTAAGGGACTTTCTGAATATCTCTACATCTGCGAGAAGACTGCTTGGTCTACGACGTTGCATTTCTTTGGWAGCCTTCAAGGTTCTTGATTTGTGTTTCGAGAACGTAATTCCTCGTCTTGCAGTTTCGTTGCTCTTTTGCTTTCTAGCAACTTTCAATTTGTTTTCATTTTCTGTGGATTTTTCAGTTTCTCTCAATATTGACTTTGTTTTCAGTTTCAACAAGAAGTCTTGATCCTTGCAAACACTTTCGAATTGACCTTCTCCTTCTTGGTTGTATACTGACTCAGCAGGCTTTGAGTTAAGGTCGATACTGACGACAAGGGCATCAATTTCTGGACCATTGATGCTGCATTGTGCATCCATTTGTATATCCTCGATTTTGATCCCACTCTCATCTGAACTAGTGAAAGTCCTTGACGATTCATTAGAACTGACCAGGTTTCCAAAGCCAGGAATCTCTTCTTCATTAAATGATTTAGTACTTTCTTTTGAGTTAATCTTCTTATTTTCATTTTCATTAAGTGATTTACTAGTGATTTTTAAACTTCCGAAGCTATAACTTCCTTTTTCTGACGAAGAGCTGAAATTCCCTTCTATTGTTGTATTCATGCTTTCATTTTTGGTGTCTTTCTCATTTGAATCGAGAGAAATCTTTGGTGATTCAATAGGACCTTCTAAGCTTACAAAGCTRCATCTTTCCTCCTCTTCTGATGATGACACTTTAATGTGGGTATTGATCCTGCTGTTCATGTTCATCTGATCTGAATTGGTGGAAAAAATCTTTGACAATGTGTGATTACTAGGACAGGAAATCTCCGCAGCARCAACACTTGTATTTTCTTCTCCATGTTTTATTTTACTGAGTACTTTAAGTGGGTGGTGAAAAGTTGATTTTATTTCTCTTCGACGCCGCTTGATCACACCAAAAGATAGAGCATAACAATCAACAATGATGATCAAACATAAAGCTTGAACACAGCAAATTAGCAGAGAGACAGCCCATTTATTCAGAAAAGACATAAACATCGGACCCACTAAAGAAACCAGCCAGATAAGGGCTATTGTCTTATACGCTTTCTTATTGGTAACAGCTGTGCGGTATTTCTTTTGCATTTTTATGGACAGATATCGGTCACAGCTTATGCAAGTGAGRGTGTACAAGGACGAAGAACCAAGAAATACTCCCAAATAGAAATAGGCCTTGAATGAGCTGCATATCTGTTCAAATTCACTGAGTGCAAGAGTCATTGTGCTGATAGGCGCCATTGCAAGTCCAATAACAAAATCAGTTAGCGCCAAGTTGCAAAGCAATATGTACGTCGGCGTGAGTCGCCTCGGCATTGTTAAGAAGCCTAAGACAATGAGAAGGTTGAGGAACGTTGCCACCATGAATAAACCACCATTCAAAGTGTATAGTAATATCTTTACGCTCCTTTGGGGAATGTCATGCGACCGTTCCATGTCCAGAACATACTGCGGGTTCAACGCACATGTGAATGTCGTTATGTTAGAACGCTGAAAGGCCTGCATCAATTGATCATCTATTGATGAGCCGAAGAAGGTTTTAATATGCTGCAATAAACTCACGCATTTAATAAATGAATGAGTGTATCCCATAATTCTATATTTTTCTTGCTTACGCACGAAATGATTTCAAAAGTATATCATGTATCAGGATTGTTTGATAAAGCTGACACGTCTCTCTGCCAAAAATAATATTTCGCGTTCATATCTAAACGTGATTTCGTGAAATGTGAAAATTCATTCTCTTCTGGGAGTTTCGACTCACAAATTCCCTGAAAAGTATTCAAAAGCTATCGCCGCTATTTTGAAAACCAATAGAGGCAATAGAGGCAATAGAGGCAATAGAGGCAATAGAGGCAATAGAGGCAATAGAGGCAATGTGTGATTCCCTTTCATATCTTACGTCGACTACAACATCATGTAACTACGTACGCCATGTAGGACGAAATACAAACCCAAGGCGTCTCATTATCTACAAGCTTTGTGTTTCTTTCAATGAAGGTCTAATTATCTATTATAACGATAATTGGAGGGCAAATGGTTTCTTATTTTCATCCAATATGGCGGCGATGACATAACAATGTACATATATTATTAGAATTATCAAAAACAGTTCACGTTACTTGCAACTCGAAACGCTGTCATATTAAGATGCTTCGGGCAGTCTGCCCTTACACATATATGTTTATGTTTTGCCACTGGAAGGATAAACCAAACTGTATACATGTATGAAAGCCGTTGGGTCTGCTCTAGTCACGATCTGTTTGCTGGTCTGTGATTTATAAAAGGCAAGTCAGGTYTGTAGTGAATGGATGTAGCCGGGACATGCAATATTAATCAATAATGACAAGCGTAAAATTCTTTATACTCAAAATACGCAAGGTGGGATAGAAAAACAACAACAACAACAAAAACTTACTCTACATGTTGTTTTATTCAATTTATATTAAAAACTATTAATATATACATCAATGAAAAGTAACTATTGTTAAGCTTTAGACAAGTAGTGGTAAGTGCTACACAGCTTCGATATAACAGTTTTTCTGGAATCAGATTTTTCTTAGAATGCTAGGACCGTAGAACTTAGTTCAGCATATTTTCCTAAGAATTCTAAGACATGCTTTCCTAACGTTGACTATTCTAGTACAGAGTATTATAGGGCTGATAGACGAATTTATATACACGATGATACAGGCTACGTCCCAAGCAACTCCTATGTTAATAACATCCAGAGTTACAAGGGTGCTTACGACCAAATAAGGCAAGAAGCAAAGAAACAGCACGCATACAATAATTAGTATTGTATGAAGGGTTCTYCGAAATTGTTCAACGTCTGTGAGAAGTGCTGAATTTTTCACRAACGACGTTCTTGTTGTCTCTTTCACAAGGTGATGTTGAGTGGTGCTGGAAAGGTGCTCGTCCAAAATATTCCTTTCAAATTTACATGTCTTWATTTCTTTCGACTCGTCGTTRAACTCAATCTTCTCAATGACACTTCCAATATCTTTATTCACTTTAAGGTATCTCACTTTCGGTGGATCTTGACTTGTTTTTTGGCCAAAGTTCTCTACAGTTTCTACTTCTTCCTTATTCAAGGCGTTCTTATCATMACGTGATTTTATGACGTAGTTATCCTTTCCGACGTCATCAGATGTGATATTTGGGCTATGTTCTTTATCCGTCAGTGAAACTGATGACTTAATCTCAAGTTGTCTCTCTTTAATTGCATTGAATGACATAWAATAGCAGTCTCCGATGACAGCCAAACACAGAAATGCTACACAACATACGAGAATCAAAAAAGGTCCCTTGCCAAGAATACTCATAAGAGTYGCACCTAAGATTGACCACACCCATATRCATATCACGAGGTAAATAGACTTTTTCTTCGTCACCACTGACTTATAATTAACTCGCATTACAAGTGATARATAACGGTCGTAACTGATGCATGTGATCGTGTATAACGACGCAGGACACAGAGTATAGCTCAAAGCAACAAGGACTTTCCACGCCGTACAGAACATRTCATATTGCTKTAATGCCCTGGTGACTAGATACATGATCTCAAAYGGACCAATGACAACGCTGATGAAGAAATCAGTCAAGGCGAGATTGCACAGCAAGATGAATGTAGGCGTCTGTAGCTTCGGGGTGGAMATTATTGCAATAACTATCAGRAGGTTCAGTAGGGCTGCTTCAATGGCAAAAAGTAKGTTAAGAACAATAAGGGCGATGGTCGCAGCGGTGGGAATGGATCGCTCGAAGTCATTGCTGTATTGTGACGTCAGGACACACGTGATCAGTTGATCGGTGCTCTTACAGTACGTWTGGTTGGTACAGATCATGGTTTCTAGAAACAAAACAAAAAACAGGTACAAATTGATCATCTCTTTTTCCTACTTTGTGCTTCCTGAAAGCCAACAAATGGAAACTATGGGTACTAGTCGTYGAGCAAGAAGTGAAGAGCCKGAGTTAYGGTTGATTCTAAGGTGAAATAATCCTAAGAATAAAATAAGCATAATATAACCGTGCATAAGCATAATTCAACAAAACATGCAGGTCGTATTGTGGCTGTACTGATCGCTGTGAATGCGTAGTTTTGATAGATATATGTTATTTATGGGCTGGAAGGTCCGTATAGGAAAACACTGCCCGAAGTCTTGATAGTACGGAACTACCGCAGCGACGTCCGTACATAAAAGAACGAGGGCAGTGTTTTCCTATACGGACCGACCTATATAGCCGGTAAATAACATTTTTATTTTTTTATTTGTATTTTATGCAACTTTGCTCGAARCCCAGCTGCAGGATACCGTGGACCGGGCAGATCGTAAAAAACCGAACCGCGTGCTACTAGCCAATCACAGCGCGCGAATGAGTAGGATACTCATGAGTAGGAAACTCATGTTTATTTAATGTATACTTGTGTTAGTGAAAAATTATGGTCATTTACTTAGCTCTCTATGCAAATAGCGAGCTGGAATATTTTATTCAAACAAACAACAACAACAAAAAAAAACAAAACAAAAAAACAAAACAACCGTGCACCAGACAGACACATTCCTAGCTCAGTAGGTTTCATGGGGACATTTGATTGCAAAACTCTCTGACCAGAAGGTCAGCCTAGAAATGCTTTTTTTCTTTCTCATGGATAAGCTGCCAATAACTTTAATTGGAGCAATAGGAAGAAAGTTATTTATAGAATTCTATTCACTAAACTCATATTGAGATTAACTTATATTGATAACATTTCTATATAGACCTAATTGAACATAGTTAATTTAAAAAATTTAGCTCATCAAAGCTAATATCGAAAGGGAGCATGGAAAAACAAATATCATAGTATAAAACTGGAATATGCGTCAAAATTATCATAATTTGAATTTCTGCATATTGCTGCATTAAGAGTATAGTGTTACAATAGTACCAAAAGATCGCCTGCCCTGAACGAAATGGCCTTTTCTACGAGTAATGCAACAATGTGTAACAATTTTACTGAGAAATGTGCCTCGAATTTCCGAGTGTTAAAAATCCCTGAGTTTCGAAACGACGTTTTTCAATTAGGTGGAACTACTATCTACTAACTTATGTATGTCGCGGTTAGAGAAGAGTCTTAATGTTAACAGTAACTGAGCCAAAAAATAGAGTTAACTAAGTTTCAGGGGCAACAGTAAGTGCTCTTAATTTAGCTAAACGTGTTTGGTTTTAGGTCCCTCTCTCGATGTAATTCTATAGTATTTCTCAACTTAAGCTGAACACTTCTATAAAAAGATGGCCTCAGTATTTATTAATAAATCGGTTGACAAAGACATTTTTGTAAAAAGATATTCGTTCTTATTTAGAAAAGAATCAAAACTTACCGAATTCGAATTAACTGAACGACGAGATCCCATTCAGCACAAATAATCAGCAAGATTTGCTATTATWTATTTACCATTCTCTATTTTAAAGCATAATAATATTTCATTTTCTGTATTTCAATTTCGAAACGTAAATCTGCATGACATTGTTTTGTTGTCATAAAAGTATAACCATTAATTTCGAATTGACTGCTGATAATTTAAAAAAATTACAATTATTTCAATCAAAAGTCAGTTTTGATACTTATTGCGTTCCACTTAGCTTCGAATCTATGTGTGCTTAATTGCTTAATTGATTGATTATTCTATTGTTTTCCATCTGTTCGTAGGAGCGAGGCTATTCCCGTCTGCGAAGAATTGTTTAGAATTATAGCGGAGCTCCCGCGCGGGCCGAAGGAGCACCATAGCTAAGAAAAAATGGTATATTCACGGAGTCAATTTTTCAAGGACCGACACAGGGCTCCCGCGCGTACGCAAGTTTCCTTCCGGAGTCTTTCCGTCTGTGAACCACCACAGGAAATCCATCCGTGCGAAAAGTAAAAACAAAACCGCCAAAATATTTGATGAAACACCAAAATTTTTCCTCAAACATTTATCTTCGAAAATGCTATAATATTAGAAAAATTAATCACGAGTAAAAAATCCACAGGAGAGCAAAATCAAAGCACAGAAATATTCCCGTCAATTTGGCATAGCTACGACGCGTCCGCACATCCGGCAAATTGAATTTTGAAATTACTTTCAGAGCTTTGAGGGCTGACTTTGAGGAATAAGACAAAAGGAAAACAGGATGATTTTTTGGGGGAAGAGCAACAATCCGAGTAGTCAACCCTTTTGTCGAGAAGTGTGGACATTTTGAAACCAAGACCACGCCAGCAGAACTGGATTGAGAGAGACTTTAAAACAAAGAATCAACAAAATTTCAGTCTTAAATGACTGTATAGATATTTGTTGAAACTTATGTTTGAAATAAGTATTTTAATACTTTATTTATTTATTTACTTATTTATTTAGCTTAAAAGCTGTTGAAGTGAGATGATATTTCTAAAGTTTATTTATMATGCCTTAGCGTTGCTTTCTAATTCAGTTTTACCGATGATAAACAACGACTATCTATTTATAGGAAGTTCAAGAATCAAGGTAAAATACGGAAGATATTCTTGTACAGTTTATTGTGATGTGAAGCCCGGGTTCAAACATCGATCTTTTGCCACATCTAATCTAATTGCTTGTTGTCTAGACTTTTTTTTGTCGAGGAGTCTTGCAGTTTCGATCAATTGACAGATTAAAATAACTTCGTCCAACTGAAAAAAATCTACAAAAGTCCGAATARAGTCAAAGTACGATATTCTCATGAACATACTCTTTCTTTTGTATAACCTTTTTGAGCTAAATATAATAATAAATATGTTTATAATATATTTGTTTGCTAGTCAACAAAAGACGTCGAGTTTACATTCCTTGAAACGGCGTACCTCTACTAAAAAAAGGTTGTTCATTGGAGCTATTATTATTATTTAATTTTTATATTATATTTCTTCCCATTACATGGAATTCGGAGTGTCAAATCTTCTAGATTCTGGTTTTCATGAAAACATTTATAAGGATTCTGGATTCCGTCACATTGGATTCACTTCAGTGACGAATTTCTTCAGGGGCGGATTTCGTATTTTTGCGGACTAGTTTCCAACTTGAAAAGTGCTGAAATAGCTAATTACTTCGAGCAATTGTTCTCTTAAAATTGTTAATTAAACGAGACTTACMTGTAAGTTGAAGTTTGATTGAGATTCTAACATGTCATCAGTCCGGAACGAAGGAGTCACATGAGATGCGCATGCGCATTACCGATCAGTCTTCAAAGTGAGAGTGATACAGTACAAGGAACGAAGGAGAAGGGCAGGGAGGGAAGGGCATGTGACTCCTTCGTTCCGAACTGATGACATGTTAGAATCTAAATCAAACTTCAACTTACAGGTAAGTCTCGTTTAATTAACAATTCTATCATGTCATCAGTCTACGTCACTACGGAGTCACATGAGATTTCAAAGACCTGTAGCACGAACRGCATATAAACAAGACCAAATTTATTTGTCTTAATAGAAACCCATGTAGGTACAACGTAGTTAAGTACAAGTGTTAGTAGCTGATGTGGACTTGAGTAGTACAGTTCCAAAGTTCTCTGTGTCTAGTGGTTTATGATAGTATCTTGCAAACGTACTAGCATTGGACCAACCAGCACTTTTCATTATCTCTGACAAAGTTAAGCCTTTAGCCTTGCAATATGAAGTAGCAGCAGCTCTGCTGCTGTGTGCAGAGTATTTGTTGATGTCGATACCTGACTGTTCCAGTACTTTCTTGACCCATCTGGCAATGGTGTCCTTATGGTAACAGGTTTAAACGGTTTCGCGTAGCTTATAAGAAGTTGGGTTTGGTTTTCCCTTAATGTCCTTGTTCTGTTCAGATATTCCTTTAAGTAGTCCACGACGCAGATTCTCTTGTCATCTGAGTATTCCTCAAGGTCAATAGGCGCCAGATGTTTGCCTGGTTTAGTTTGTTTTAACTTCTCATTTATAACGATACGAACACTGTGATCTAGTTCCTGGATATAATTGGTATGTATCTTATGGATAGTTTGTCCTCTCTGTCCCGTTGTTAAACATAACAACATGGTCAAGTTAAGTGTCAAATCCTTAAGAGATAAGGAGCCTTTAAGGGGGCTAAAACTTTTAAAATAGTTTAACACAATATTAACGTCCCAAATTTCGGTGTACTTAGGTAAAGCCGGTTTAAGTTCAAAAATGCCTTTCATGCAATGTACAACAAGGAGGTGCTCTCCAAACGTCACCCCTTCTTCTAAGATTATAGTTGATGACAATGCTGATCTTGCAGTGTTCACTGCACTATAGCTTAACCCAGATTTATGTAACGAGACTAAGAACTCGACTCCTTTAGCAATCCCCGGTTGGAAAACATCGATATTATTTTCATTACAGAAACTTTGCCACCGTTTTAAATATGATTGATATTGCTTTGAAGTGCCCTTACGCCAAGAAGCCATAAGCACATCTTTTGCACTAGAACATAGTTCATATCTGTCTAGTCCTTGCCTGATAAGAGGCATATCATGAGATGGAGTCTTTGCCAAATTGGGTGCGTTTCGTTCGGTTGGCTGGGTAARTATAGGAGGTTTCTTCTCGCTTTCACAAATATAGGTTTTTACACCGTCATCTGAAGAGCTCTCGCATACCAGGGCTGTGTTGGCCAGTCTGGCAACACACATATCCCCATTGCTTTTTCGTGGTGTATTTTGGATAACATATTGGGAATAACACTAAATGGAGGAAAAGCATAAAAGTTTAGTTCTGACCAAACCAATTTAAAGGCGTCTATGGCAAAAGCCCTAGGGTCCGGYCTGAATGAAACGTATTTTTCGAATTGGTAATTAATGCGAGAGGCAAAAAGGTCTATATCAGGGCAAAAGCCTAGCTGTGATAAAGCCCTCTTCAAGCACTCTTCTTCGAGCTTCCATTCAGACTCGATCTGGTTACGTCGTGACTCAAAGTCCGCCACTAGATTTTGCTCTCCTGGGATGTGTGCTGCGCTTATCCATAGATTTCGCTGCATGCACCATTCCCAGATGTTTTTCGCCAAAGAGTTTAGCTGTTCAGAGTGGCTGGTACCCATATTGTTGAGTACATTTACTGCAGTGGTGTTATCAGATACTGCACGAATGTGGGTATTTGTAAGTGTCTTGACGAAACATTGTAATCCAAAGAATATCGCTAGGAGTTCTAAGTAGTTAATCGAATGTTCACGTTCAATGTGTGTCCATAACCCTCCTGATGATGCACCACCGTACTCCGCCCCCCATCCTTTTTTGATGCATCCGTGGTTATTACATGTGTTGGTGTCACGTGTGTTATCAAATTGTAAGATTCTGGCACGTGTTGCACCCACCAACGAAGTTCCGATTTTGCTCCTTCTGATAGTGACATGGTTGAGTCAAAGTTGCCTTTCGCATTATCTAAAAATTGAGTCTTATCTCTTTCTAGGGATCGATAATATAAAGCCCCATGCATAACTCCAGGAAAACTGGATATTATCTTACCAATAACTCTAGCGACCTCTCTAATGGTTGGGTGTTTGGATTTTAGTAGCGAGTTACAATCGTTTAGTAACTGTGTTGATTTATCGGTGGTTAATCGAATTGTCATATTGTTCGAGTTAACCAAAAATCCTAGGATTATCAAGGTTTGAGATGGCATAAAACTAGATTTTGTTGGGTGTATTACAAAACCTAATTTGCTTATCATGGCTATTGTGTCGATGACATTCAAAAGGCAATCTTCGAAAGTTTTTCCTTGCAGGTAGATATCGTCTAAGNCGCTTAAAATTATGAAACATTTGCCTGAAGTCACTAATTTCGCGTTTCGTGCTATTCAAGTACTGTCCAGAACAGTTCTTTAAGTAAATATTTTTTTCTGGCAATTCTTTTTAAAAATTCTAAGACATGCTTTCCTAACGTTGACTATTCTAGTACAGAGTATAATAGGACTAACGGACGAATTCATATACACGATGGTACTAGCTACGTCCCAAGCAACGCCTATGTTAATAATATCCAGGGTCACAAGAGTACTAACTACCAAATAAGGTAAGAAGCAAAGAAACAGCACGATGACAATAATCAATATTGTTCGAAGGGTTTTCCGGAATTGCTCAACGTCTGTGAGAAGTGCTGAGTTTTTCACAGGCGACTTTCTTGTTGTTTCTTTTACAAGGTGATGTTGGTTGGAGCAGGAAGGATGTTCACCTAAAATATATCTTCCAGTAGAATTTATGGACTCTGTATCTTGGCATTCAGTATTCTTTTCATCGACAGCGCCAGCATCTTTATAAACAAGTTCTAGGTGTCTCACTTTCGGTGAATTTCGATTAGTTTTTTGGCCAAAGCTCTTCACATTTTCGCTTTCTTGTGGGACAATACCGTGCGAAATTCCACTCTTGTACCACTGCGCTTTATTTACGGCATTCTTACCATCACGTAACGTCATGGTTTCCTCTCTTACATCATCAGATGTGGAATTTGAAACAGAATTGTTAGTCGTTAGAGACACTGAGGACTTTATCTCAAGTTGCCTCTCTTTAATTGCATTGAATGACATATAATAGCAGTCTCCGATGACAGCCAAGCAAAGAAATGCCACACAACATACGAGAATCAAAAAAGGTCCCTTGCCAAGAATACTCATAAGAGTCGCACCTAAGACCGACCACACCCATATGCATACCACGAGGTAAATAGACTTTTTCTTCGTCACCACTGACTTATAATTAGCTCGCATTATAAGTGATACATAACGGTCGTAACTGATGCATGTGATCGTGTATAACGACGCAGGGCACAGAGTATAGCTCAAAGCAGTAATGATTTTCCACGCCGTACAGAACATATCATATTGTTGTAATGCCCTGGTGACTAGATACATGATCTCAAACGGACCAATGACTACGCTGATGAAAAAATCCATCAAGGCGAGATTGCACAGCAAGAGGAATGTAGGCGTCTGTAGCTTCGGGGTGGACATTATTGCAATAACTATCAGRAGGTTCAGTAGGGCTGCTTCAATGGCAAAAAGTAKGTTAAGAACAATAAGGGCGATGGTTGCAGCGGTGGGAATGGATCGCTCGAAGTCATTGCTGTATTGTGACGTCAGCACACACGTGATCAGTTGATCGGTGGTCTTACAGTACGTTTGGTTGGTACAGATCATGGTTACTAGAAACAAATCACAAGACGGCTATTAATAGATCATTAATTTTTCTGCTTTGTTCTTCCTGAAAGCCAAGAATTGGGGAGGGATTCTAGCCGTCGAGTTAACAATTCGCAGGCGGTTTTCCATTGTCTGTACTCTTATTGACAATGAAATTGACGTCAAAAATGCTCAAAACTCAAGTGGAACCACGAGCGTAACTGTCTGTGATTTTTATTTATTTTGCAGGATTCTGCATGGTTTCACTTGTGAATTGTTTTGCGTGACAAGCGTGACTGCTGTACGCGTCATTGCCAGTGTCTAAACTCTCAGTGACAATAGCTCTGGACCAATCAGCTCGCGAGAAATCCACAAGTTATTCTAAAACTAAAAGTAGACAGTTAAGGTTGATTTTCAGGTGAAATAATCGTAAGTATAAGATAAGCATAACGGTGTTTTTACGCGACATAAAAACAAAACCTTGCAGGACATAAGCCCCAAGAAGAGTGAACGTGCTAGTTCCTATTATGGTTGTTCTGATYGCTATGAATGTGTAGTTTTGATAATTTTGTTTATCTTGTTTTAATGTATATTATGTTGGTGAGAATTATGGACAATTACTAATTGCCTATGCAGATAGAGAGCTGGTATATTTTTTTAAAGAAGTAAAACAACTCGTGTATCACAGACACATTCCTAGCTCAGTATAGTTTTCATGGGGGCATTTGACTGCAAAACTCTGACCACTAGAATGTCTGCCTAGAAATCCTTTTTTCTTTCTCATGGTACAGCTTGGAGGAATAGGAAGAAAGTTATTTATAGAATTCCATTCACTAACTCTTCATATTTAGAGTAACTTACAGTGACGACATTTTTATTCTCCTAATTGAAAATAAATAGTTGGGTTCGAAATGGTGACTTTATCGACTGAGGCAAAGACCGAAAGGGAGGATGGAAAAGCAAATATTGCGAGTATAACAGTGTTTCAGAGCCAAAAGATCACCTCCACTGAATAAAATGACTTTCTATACGAGTAATGCTACGTGTAACATGTTTAGAGAAATGTGACTTGAATTTCCGAGCACTRAAATGAGATCCCTTTCGGTATAGTGGTTTCGACACGACAAGGTTTTTTCAATTAGGTGGARCTAATCTATATATAACTGTGTATGTCGCTGTTAGAGAGGTTAGACGTAACGTGAACAGCAGAAGTTAACTGAGATTTCAAAGCCAACAATTAGTGCCAGTTTAACTGAGTTTCAGGCATCCGCCGTGAGAAATTCTAGTAATTCTAATCTTCTCCTGAAMACTTCTGTAAAAATATCGCGTCACAAGAGTATAGTCAATCGGTCGACAAAGACATTATAATAAAGATATTCGTTCATATTTAGAAAATAATTAAAACTTACCGGATTCGAACTGAGCGACAAAGATACAATTCAGCACAAATCAGCAAGATTTGCTATTATTTATTTATCATTCTCTATTTTAAAACATAATAATATTTCATTTTCTGTTTTTCAGTTTCGAAACATTACTATTGTTTTTTCAGTTTCGAAACATAAATCTACATGCTATTGTTTTATTGTAAAAAAAAATAACCATTAATTTCGAATTGATTGTTAATAATTTCCTTAGGGCCGGAAACTACAATAATGTAATGACATGGTCAGTAATAATATTAAGATAGAAGATTATAATTATATAATTATCCCTAATCTTTATTTTTTGAGTAAAAATACTCATTCAGCATTTTGAGGGGGAAAGGGTGGAAAATTTATTTTTGGAATTCAGACGCAGCGCTTGTTTTTTTTGTTGTTTTTTTTTTGTAAAATTTACAAAAACTCTAGTGGAAATTTTTTAAATTTGCAAAAAACATTTGTCAAACCCCCTCAAAAAAAAAAAAAAAAAAAAACCCTGCTATTTTTGTTTCACAGATTGAGTGTGTTTGCTCTATCAAAAGTCATCGGTTTTGATACTTATAGGATAGGTATATTTAATTTCAGTAATTTGTTGTATTTCAGAATCATTATTAATATTCTCTATTTTTTCATTATAATACATCAGTTGTATTATTATTATAAATATTCACATTATCATAATTTTTACTCACTCATATTTTTTCATCATTACATAATAATAATTTAATATCATATCTGATATAATATTGTAGTTTCGATTTTGAAGCAACAGTCTCACAAAATATTYAGTTGCGAAAATCTTTTCGATATTGGCAGACTCTCATTGTACGAAACCCCTACGCTACGGGTCTGCGTTCCTTTGAGGTAGTGAATCAAATGGCTGGTCAGCTGTCTCCCTATGAAACGAGAATTAACAAACCGCGAATTATAAATTCAAAGCTAACAGCTTTTTTAGCAGAATCTGAAAGCAAAGGCGTTACTTTGTTTTTACAATATACTTTAAGTAGAACTTAAAACACATAAAACATCAACGTAATTTGAGATCAAATCTATAATGTTTCTTCAATATTTGGTGTTGACTTTGTAATGCCTAAAAAGGGGTCGTACTTTATATTAAGATACCTGCGATATTTCATATCATACATTTTTTATTATGTCGTAAACACCAAGTCGTACTCGGATCACGCAAATTATAGAAGACGTTTTTTTAACCTGAAAGATATAGCTACTTTGTAGATTCTCTGAACAACATCATTCGTGGCTTTGCAAGAATTATTTCTTTTAAACAGAAATATTAATCTTCATGGTTCATAGAACAGTTTGTGAAAAAAATGTGTCTACATAGAGTGCCTAAAACGTGAAATATAAAAGGACTAACCAAATAAAATACCAAATAGCGCAGTATAGACAATAGAAAACGACAATAGAAAACAAAGGAATTCGCCGCATAGTCTGTAATGCATTATACCATAGCATACTCATTATCACTGAGATTTTTTCATAGTTTTAGTGAGTGCTTTTTTCGGTACTCTACTACTAATTACGACTTTATATATAATATAAAAATATGTATAAAAATGTCTATATATCTCTAGTTTTTGTCTATTCAATCAGTGCATATCATCAATTCCATGTTTTTAACCTCCTAAACGGTTAATGTTGAAGTTGTATTAATAGAGGTAAATCAAGCCCGCCCACACTGTGCTAACTCTGTTTTGTGGGCAAAACCTGACCATAAAAGTAACCTTCCAGAAATTGATCGAAAGAKGCAGWTAGTAATTGGTTAGTAATTTTGTCGTGTGAATACAACATGGGGTGGGAGCGATTTTTATTTTTGGACACTTTTTGAGTTCGAGTATCGCTTTGAACAGTAGTACATCTTCACCAGACACMTCYTTTATTACCGACACYGTWCATTCCCACAGGGACCCCTTTTATTACGGCCAAGACACCTTMAATTTTACTCTGTAACCCATTTATTACAGCATTACCGAAATTTCATCTTCCGGATGAGTAAGTTTGAAGTCTCCTGAGRACACCTCCTTCATTACGGACATCTCTATAAGTGGTCTCTCCCCTACACCCCTATTATCACGGACAGCACTTTGAATACCTATACATCTTTAACCATATTGTATATGTTTTCCCTCTTTGAAAAGATACCTCCTGGACCTTCTTCAGATACTGAACTAGACAGGACTCTGCMGAGTTATTCTTGGTATTGGGATCTTGATACTGCAGGTATCACATCTCTATAATGCAACACTTCTAGAGCATTCTTTGCTTGCAAACCACATGACCAATAATCCCCTGAGAAATGAACAAGGATGACACCGCCATGTTTGATGCGTAAAATAGAGAGAAACTATGAAGAATGTGCTTATTTTTATTTTTWTTCATTTTTATTTCATTCAAGTATATCCGAAATGTGCTGGCTCAGTCACTGTGCACATCAAGGATACAGTCACCCGCTTTAACAAAAAGTAGAACTTCAGATATATCACCTTTAACCTTCATATTCTCATCGATATAACATATTAAGAATATGAAAAGTTATTTGATGCACGAATAGAAAAATAATGGACGATGGGACTTAYATATTTGTACAAATTTTATTTTGTTTTGCATAAACTAAATTCTCTCAGAATAAATAAAACATATAAAGACATTTAGGTGAATAACAAATTTTCATGGCCTTCTGAGAAAATAAAAGCAACAATAAAAAAAAAAGTGATGATGAAAATCATTGGGATAACAAATACATTTAAGGAAGCTTTGAAAAGAATTTCCGCTTTCAAATTCTTTAGCTTTTTCACAGTCATATAAACATTAAGTTTATTTATTTCATTGCTTAAATTTAATTGTGTTTTTAGTTTTATAATCATTTATGAAACAGTAAACATAATTAACTTACATGAAAAAAATATGATCCCGAACCATATATTACCACATTTTTTTTAAAATTCGAGGTATAAAAAAAAGAACTTTGTCTGCCATATCGGTCAGCAGTTAACATTCCTGCACAATTGAGCATGCGTATATGACTTTTCATCATTTGTCTTCAATCAATCTATGTTCAGCAAGGGCCAAGCATAAARCCATTACCTTTTTGCATTTCTAAACTATAAACTAACATCCAAAAATAATTRTATTCATAGAAACACGTTGTATTATATTGCCGTCAACCTCATTAACACTTCTGTACAAAATATACCTTAATTCGACAGACAACTATAAAGATTAAAATGTCAAACAAAACTTTAAGTCGCTAATTGCCCTCAAGCCATTTAATCCTACATTATATTATGTAATCTCAAGACTTTTAAATCAGTCTCGTTCCGCTACCTGTAATAACTCTATCCCGCAGAATTTACCGCCAAGTGYCTTACCGCCAAAATCAAAACACTCGACGCGAGCGTCACTTTCAATGGCGGGAAATGTTGTTGAAATATATTYGTGAATTTCTTTCTCAACAGAAATCCATTTATTATGGTGGGATATAAGTATGTTATTTAAGTTTGCTTTTGCAGGAGTATATTTAATATTGTTTATATTTTTGTCACCTTATAGAAAAATACCTGTAAACGACTGTAGGTGGTCACTTCGCTTGTGTAAACACGCAGTTGTCGACCAATGTCTGTTCAGGGATTTGACAAAACAAGCTTCTCTTCGAAAGCGTCAATCAAAACCCCCTAGCATCTAAACTTTAAGCTACGGATTGGAGAGAAAACAAGCCTAATAAYTGTGATATCCGTCTCTTACCATTTCAAGAAACGGTGGGATATTACCTCACCAMTAGAAGGCATTGARACGTATTGAAATTTTCGTCGAAACGTCTTCAAAATACGCCCAGCCCCTCGGCATATTTGCAGCATTGCTTATTTACACTGATAAAGCTGTTCTGAATTTGCTTTCCTGACGGATAGAAGGTAAGTTTAATGAGAAATCTAAATAGTGTAGAATCAGAAGTACTCCAACATCAAGCTTACAAACCGCATTATTATTCTCAAAATCAAATATTTTAAATATTACAAGTGTTAAAAGTAAAAACYTCGAGTACAATAGGTCCAGAGTTATGTATAAATCATTACTTATAATAATGTGCTAAAATTTCCATGATTCTCAATCTAGATAAGATGTTTTACGTCTTATTAAATCGTAAAGCGTAGTTTATTTTGGGAACGTTTCTTTTTACCCATTTGATATCCTCCTTGTAAATATGAATACAAATAGCTTTCAGACATACGGTGAACACAGCAAGTACTGCTGCACATGACTATTGATAAAATTACTAATTTAAAACCATTTTACGCCAAAGAAAAAAAAAAACAAGGCAGAATTTTATGGAAAAAATTTCAATCTCAATTTTGCTTGGAAAAAGGTGGTTAAACCAGTTAATGAATTGACAGTTTATATTGTTAAATCCGTTTTGGTTCTTTGAATAAAGCTGATAAATTCCCACTATAAATGCAAAGAAAAGCTTCAACATGCACTACTATTAAATCATGAATTGAGCCAAGCTTTAAATTATTGCCAACTGCATTCCTTAGTAATTTTGGCCAGAGAACATTCGAGCAGCTCTTGTTTTCATTTTTTCAATCAGCAAGTTCACCTTTATGGTACAAATGGAGGAAAAAAACGACAACAAAAACAAATACTAGAATATTATAATTCATCGCAACGGTCGTAGAGAACATCATAAAAGGTAAAAAAAAACCCAGACATTTTGGTAAATTAGAACAGCTTAAGAACGCTTGATTTTTGCAAATGTAAATAGCAATAGAAAATGTCCTAAAAAAGAAGCATCGATTTTGAAAATTGATACACACACAAAAAAGAAGTTAATTTAGAAACCAAAATGCTTTGACAAATGTATGTTTAAAACCTTGTAGTTTTGGCTGATTGACAATTTGATAATATCACTGGGTTGCCCCCTACATCTCTGGGCAATAACAGCTCCCCAGGTAGAAATCAAATGATACAAGTTTATCGTTATAAGCAATCGTTTCCTCATTTGTCACAGGGATGTGTATGGAATTTCTTAAATGTGAATCAATGCCTTTTCTTAGATCAGCTCTTAAAGCAAAACAAACAAAGACGTAGACAGTTGGTTGGTATTCACTCGGCAAACTGCAGACAATCGTCCTTTGTATTGTATTATTGTAAGCAACGTTAACTTGCTTCACAAAAGATTTTAGATTTCGTTATTATACATACTCATTTCATATGCGTTATGAAAAAACAAAGGCAAAACAATCAAAAAATCTCGCTAAAGGTATACTTCTTAGTGCTTTGGCCGGCTTTTCTTAAAAMMWTKKTTT